TTATCTATTATTATTTTTCCTTTTCTTTTTTTAAAATTTAAGTTAGAAACAAGCTTGCTTCACATGCCAATCCCAGCTCCCTCTCCCTCCACTTCTCCCCCCAAAGGTTTCTTTTGTGATGTTTTTTTGTTTGCTTTCTGCAAGGCTCCAAGACTGATATGTTAGTTATCATTCTGTTGCTGTAGTAACATCATGACCAAGGCAACTTATAGAAGAAAGAGTTTATTTTGGGCTTACATTTTCGGAGGGTCAGAGTCTGTGGTGGTGGTGGAATGCAAGCAGCAGGGAACAGGGAGAAATGGTGGCCAGAAGAGCAGGTGAGAACTGGCATCTAGAAGCACAAACAAGAAGCAGAGAGAAAGCACTGGAAATAATGTGCACTTCTGAAACCTCAAAGCCTGCCCCTAGTGACACACTTTCTTTAGCAAAGCCACACCTCCTAAGCCTCCCCAAACCAAACAGGGCTTCCAACTGGAGACCAAGTATTCAAATACTCAAAGCACCAGACTGAGATGGATGTGAAGAAAAGAGACCCGCCTCTCGGACCTGGAAAGGTGTGCTTTCCCCTGGACCAAGGGGACCTTAAGCCAAGTCAAAAGAGAACGTGACTATTTGGCCTCTTTTTTCTTGATAACCACCCGCTGCTTGTAGTCAGTTCTCTCATAATCATGGGCCGGGAGCTTTAGAAGTTCCCTGAGTCACCACAGTGTAACCTGGGTCTCCAGGAGCTTAAAGAAGGCTGGAAGTTCACCCAAGAGTTCTAGATGGTTCAATGGGTAAGGCCCTCAGCATGAGGAAAAGAAGTCAGTGGGAACCAGAGGTAGGAGTCTCTGTGTTTGGACTAAAGATTGAGGTGATCCCCACCCCAAATTACATTTTCATAAATATCAATTGCTTGTCTGTTCATTGTGTTCTGTAAAGTTCAGCATCTTGTTCAATCCTCGTAACTCTGTGTGCTCTAATCTGTCATTCACTAAGACATGCAATGTTGGGCCTAAAAAGGCTCAGATGTGAGGCCCAGTGTAACCTCCTGAGCCTGGCTAGAGTTTGGCAACCTGTCTCTGGCCTGTAACCTCCACGTGGGGGTGACACAGCAAGGTAACTAATGGGAAGCCCTGGGAAGAGGCTGGCTGGACTGGCCTTTCCTCTGCTCTACCTGCTGGAGGATCTGGCAATACAAAGGTTCAGACAAATCACAAGAAGTAAAGACAAGGTTTACCTGGTAGCCAGGTTCCAGGGCAGGCATGCTGGGCCAGGCTACCATCCTGTAGAGGCAGGTGTGAGGCGGGTAGGGAGAGAAAGCTTTCAGCTGGGCACTGTTCTGCAGGAGCTACTGGGAGAGTTGACATATGAAGCCCTCTGATGCGTCACATCTTACCTACGGGATGAACCTCCATCCCATCACTAATGGCCATACAAGCTAAGGGTAACATAGAGTGAAGGGCACACATATTTATGACATTACTGCTTCTGGGAGCATTTCTAGCTCCCAAATGACTGGGTGTTCTCTCAGGATGAACATGCGAAGTAAGGGGAGAAGAGTCAGGGCCAGAAAAAAGACTCCCTTCGAGATCAGAGTGATCCAGAGCAACTTTTAGAGTAGTAGGGACGGGGAAAGGGCATTGGCAAGCTCCTACTAGTTCAAGGATAAAATGTAAGAGCTATAATTTGCTGAAAAATCAGGGGGACTGATGGTGAGCACAGTTTAGTCAGTTAAGTGCTTGATGTGGGAGCATGAGGGCCTGAGTTTAATGCCCAGAACTGACAAAAACAACAACAGCAGCAGCAACAACAACACACATGGGCCTGGGGGCACACGCTTGTAATCTCAGCAGTGCTGAGGCAGACATAGGCCAGCTAGCCTAGACTATTAAAGGGAACTCCAATAAATGCACTTGTATTGGCCAATAAGAGAGCCTATCTTAAAAATCAAGGTGGTTGGCCCCTGAAGAATGACATCTGAGGCTAATTTCTGGCCTCCATATGTGCCATGTGCACACACATGCATCTACACACATATATGAATGCATATACTCACAAATATACATGTATACATAAAGAATGATGTGTTTGGGTTTCTATTGCTGTGATGAAACACCATGACCAAAAGCAAGTTGAGGAGGAAAGGGTTTATGTGGCTTACACTTCCACATTGCTGTTCATCACTGAAGGATGTCAGAACAGGAACTCAAACAGGGAAAGAGCCTGGGGGCACGAGCTGATGCAGAGGCCATGGAGGGGTGCTGCTTACTGACTTACTTCCCCTGGCTTGCTCAGTCTGCTTTCTTATAGAACCCAGGACCACCAGTCCAGGGACCACATCATCCACAATGGGCAGCTCCTCCTCCATTGATAACTAATTGAGAAAATGCCTTACATCTGGATCTCATGGAGGTATTTCTCAACTGAGGCTCCTTCCTCTCTGATGACTCCAGCTTGTGTCAAGTTGGCACATAACCAGCCAGTACAAGTGGTTACCATATAGCTAAAACAAAAATGTTTTAACATTATTTTGCAACAGTAATAATACTAAATTATATGTGTGTGTGTGTGTGTGTGTGTGTGTGTGTGTGTGTGTGTGTGCGCGCGCGCTTCTTTTTGGAGAAATGATCTCACTATGTATTCAAGGTTGACCCTTATCTCAACTCAATATGTATTCCAGACAGACAACAGACTGAAGATTCTCCTGCCTCAGCTTCATGAATGCTGGGATTACAAGTGTGGGCCACCATACTCTGTTTTTGTGAAGGTATTCTTATTCCTATTTTACATCTGGGGAGTCTGAGGCTCAAAGAAATTAAATACATTGACCAAGATCAGACAAAACGGAACTGAGATTAAAATCAAGTCATTCAAAACTGAGTGATAGATCATTTTAGGGCTAAGTTTTTGCTTTCTGTAGGCATACTTTTACTAATGGGCTTTGGTGTCTGATTGAATGAGAATATCCAGAAAGTCTTGAGCATGTGTAGGGTACTCAAATGGATCCATGAATCTTTTCTAAGGGCGATAAAGGGTTAGGGCATAAAATAAATGGTTCTGTACCTCACCAATTGTTCCCAGTGTTTGAGAGCAGCTAGGATCCTAAGCTGACAGCTGACCACAGAGAATAGGGAACTTAGAGAGGCAATCCTAGCTTCAAAGACCTAGACAGGACTTGGAGAACCTCTCAGGCATCACAGTCTGGTCCTGGGTTCAGGAATAACAGTAGTTCATGAACTCAACCAAGGGTCCACAACATCCTTGAAGGTAGAGAGACAGCACAACCTTTCTTCCAGCAACACCACTTAGCTCCATCCAGCCTGTGTGGCTGACAGGCAGCACTGAGCTCTGCCACTTTATCTCATAAGAGGCCAATGCCCCATCCCATCCCTATCCCTATGCTTCAGGCTTCTCCCTCAATGGCTCCTTTCTTCCCTCTTCGCCAAAAGGATGCAGATCCTTACTTGCACACTGCCAAGCTGGACAGCTGGGGGGGGGGATGCTAGATTTTAAAGGAGACCTGCAAACAGAAACTAAGACAATACCCCCCCTGTTTGCATGCCTGAGGTGCTGGATAGAATGACAGAGTCCTTATTTATTTATTTATTTATTTATTTATTTATTATTTTTTTTGTATGTGCTTGTGCATGTGTTTATGTGGGGTAAGTGTACACACACACACACACACACACACACACACACACACACACACAGAGGCCAGAAGTCAAAATTGGGTGTCTCCTTCCATTGCTTCTCTACCTTGATTTTATTCAGTATCTCCCACTGTCCTGGAGTTTACCAATTAGGCTTACTTGACTGGCCAGAGAACCCGAGGTGTCATCCTGTACCTGCTTCCTCAGCATCTGGATTACAGATGCTCAGCTGTATCTGCCCTTATTGTGTTCTGGGCTCTTGCCATGTATTATCAACTTAATCCTTTCAAGCCCTTCATGATGGTGATGCTGTCCTGATCCCCACTTTTTAGATGAGGAGCTAAGGGACACAGATATTAAATAACTTGTCCAAGGTCAACCTAGTGAGCAGTGAAATCCAAACCCAGACCCTGAACCTTTCTGTCAAGCAGAATTATTTTTGGTCACATAGTGGCATCATAGGCAACATATTCCAAATTCCTATTTTAATGTCCTGACCACTCACTCCAACAGAAGAATATTAAGTATTCGGGGGTTTCGTGTGTGTGCTTGTTTGTATATTTTAGCATATTAATTTTGCTTGCTTATACATTCAAAGCTACTGAGCCTTGCAACTATTCTCATCACAACAGACCAGTATGGGAATCAGTGCTGAGAGATGGAGAGAGATCCAGGGCAGACTTGGACCCTGTACCCGTAGACCATCTCCCCATACCTCATGCACCAGCTAAATTGCCAGGCACTAAGAAAAGAATTCAAGGACTACTCCCCATCCCTGCTCATCCCCCAGCTCTGTATAGGTGGGCACTAGGATAGGGGAGAAGGAAAGTACTAGAATAGCGAGAAAGGTGGACACTATAGAATAGGGAAGAAGGCGGGGACTACAATGAGGGAAGGATGCATCAGGCTTTTTCCTGAAATGCCACCCCAGAAAATGACATGAAACTAGAGGTACATGAGCACAGCAGGGCTGGAGTGAAGAAAGAATGGTTTGCTCTGTCGGAGGAAGGAGTGAGAGCAAACAGGAGGTCCAGCGCCACCTGCAGGAGGACTGAGAGGCCTCTGAGGAGGGAGTGGAAGGGAGCAGAGCCAGCTGTGGCAGGAAGGGAAGGCGGGAACTGAGAGAGCCTGAGGTTCAGTTCAGTCCAGCAGAGAGGGGGCAGCCTGTATTTCCCTGGCTGCTCCATGGATGCAGGCAAGAAGGTTGAATGTCCTATGTTGGCCCCACCTCCAGAGCCTTTCGCTGAAGCTGCTGCATTGGACACAAAAGGGTGAGACACAGAGACCTCGTCTCTGCTAACAGGAAACTGGTTTCAGTAGCCGAGTGGCATAGTGTGACAAAGCCTGGGCAGGGTGTTTCACACTGTTGTCTGCATTTTTCAAGTAAGCAGCTGTTTACGTGTGAAAGTCAGAAGTAAAGAGCTGAGGGCCTAAGTAGAGGAGGTGGGAGGTGACTGGAGTTAGTGCAAGCTGGAGGGAGTCCAGGGAGAGGAGCGCGGGTTTAAGCAGGAACAAGCCCCAGGCTAGACTTCTGAAGAGCGGCTGTGGCTGTGTGTGGAGTGGGGCCACTGGGGCTCCGCTAGGTCCACGGCTGGCTGATGGGTGTAGATGGTGCTCAGCAAAGGGCTGTGCGCTCATGGCCTCGGAACCAGTGCATCTGGAGAGCAGACGTTCTGGCCACACCACCGTCTCAGCGTTTCTCTTCCCGACCAGGCATATTTACTTGCGCAGACTGCCAGATATCCATACCCCAAGTTCCCGATCTCCTCCTAGCCTTCCCTCTGAGAAAGAGCAAAGGTCTACAATCGCTATAGAAAGAAGACGGCAGGGTGACTGCATTTATTCACTGGGATGTGGCTTACCAGAAAAGGGATTCTCTGTCAGGAAAGGCAATCTCTCCTGAGGCTCCTGAGAAAGGTAAGCTAGGAGAAACCTGCCTGATGCTCTGAGGAGGCTTGCCTGTGGCCCAGAGGAGGGAAACGGGACACAGGCTATGGAGAACAGGGTGCATACAGGCAAGGAATGGGTAAGGAGAATGGTCCACAGAGCAGACCAAGAGTAATGTGCACAGCATGTTGTCACAGAGAGAGGAAGAGACCTTAGGTATCTGTTACATACAAACCCAGCATCCCTGTATCCCCAGCTGGGAGACTCCAGACCTGACCCAGCATGCTAGTCATCTGGAGTTTGTCAGATGTGGGTCTCTTCACAGGTACACATTGTTCTCCAAGATTCCCAATGCTCAAAATATTTCAGACTTGGTTTCTTGTCAAAACACACACCAGCCAAACTCTGACATGTTGTGAGGCCAGGGCATCCAGAGGAATACCTCCTGGGCTTCAGGGCACAAAAGGACATGAAATGCTGAACACAGGCAGGTCTACAATATGCCTTCCCTTAATCCACAACTTCTGTATGCAAAATCAAAAGTGAGGCTCCCCCCCCCCCCACCCCCGCCTCTCCCCACTACACACACACATGTCACACTGGGCAGTAAGCAGGTAGGGGTGTGGAGAGTACAGCTTAGTAAGTCAGGTACAGGACACACTGAGTTCAAAGACGGCTCCTGTCTCATCCCTGCTGAGGTGGGGGTGGGAATTGGTACAAACAGTGAGGGCGTTTGGTGACAGTTACTGTTCAGTGACTAACATTCCTGGCTGCCCCGGCTGAAGTCTATACAGCATGCTTCCTGGCTCAGTCAGCCCTACCTCTTTCTCCTGCAGAGGGCAATCTGGGTCAGTGCACACACGGAGGACTCCAATGCTCAGCCAGCACGGCCAAGGTTCCCTGGCCCAGCAAACACAAGGGGCTTTGATACCTTCGGAGAGCAGCAGCTCCCCCACCCCAGGATGCTGTGGCTGCTCTTGGCATGGCCCAATCCCAGAACAGGCCCTGCTTGGGAGGCCTCAGCTAAGAGGTGGTGGTGTACAGCCATGGAATCTGAGAGAAATCCCAGAGCTGGTGTCTGTGAGCTGTGTGGTCTTGGGCAGGCAGAAAACCTCATTAATGCGCAGGGTCCTGTCTGTAAGACGGGAGGAAAAACAGTTACATAGGTCTCTGTCTGGAAGTTCACTGGAAGGAATAAGTGAAAGTGTGTCTGGGAAGCAGTCCATATAGAGTGAGTGACCCCCAAAGTGCTTATAGTATCTGGCATTCTCAGGATGGCCCCTCAAAACGAAAGCAAGCGCACCTCACTGGCCAGGGACTAGTTCCCATTCTCACCCCAAGGCCCTCTTAGCTTCCCTCCTTTGGAAGACACTCACCCACACATACATTTCTTGCTAACTGGCATTCAGCAGGCTTTGGCTGTGTCTTTAAGCTAAAGCAAAACTAAACTGAAAACAAGACTCAGATGGCTTCTACATCTCATGCCTTGTTGCTGTCCAAACCTTAAGTCCATGCTTGTCAAATTGGGGATAGGTGGGGTATGTTAGGCATACTGTGCCATGGGGATTCATATGGCACACTTAGGGGAAGATTAAACATTGGAGCTAAAGGTGAACATAGAATATGCATTCCCATGAGTGTCTAAAATGAGCCCTTTGAAATCTAGGTGGGCATCCCTTTCTCTCTGACTGCCTCTGTTCACTCTCTATGGCACTTAGGACCCTTTCAACACATTGCAAAGGCCTTGCGTAAGCAGACAGGTGGCTTAGGAAGCCATCTGGTGTTTTATGTTCGCACCCAAATTTTTCTGGGGACTATTCTTTGTCTTTAGAAGAGTGGCTATACAGCCCAATGCCTGGGAGGCGGCCCCAGATAACCCTTATAGGATATCACTCTTGCCTTCCTGGCAGGGACAGCAGGAGCATCTGTTTGGCTAGTATTTGAGGTGTGGGCACCTAGCAAACCCCCCTACCTCCAGCTGTCTCTAGCAAGCAGGATTTCTGGAGGGGAGATGGATTACTATGGCAGTTTCAGCAGAACCCATAGCTTCCTTCATCCCAAGATGCTGAACAATATACCTGGCAAGGCTATCAGTAGGAAAAAGAGTCATAGGCATATCGCCTGCCTATGAAGGAGATTAAACACATTCACTGTTTACCCCTCACCCTCTCTCCCTGCTGCAGGAACCCTGAGCCAAGCAACAGCTCTTTCTAGGAGGAGCAGACAATTGAAGTGCCTGCACACTGTGGCACAAATGGACTCCCAGGACAGATGGAACAAGGTGTCCCTTAAAAAAGCAGCATGATTCATGACACCCAGAGGTTGAGCATGAACACGGTGAGTGAAGATGAGGATGGTAGGGAGGGTGGCTCTCACAACAACACTGACTTGCAGTGTGATACCCAGACCCGCAAAGAGGAAGATAAATGGTCTGGGTCCTCCAGCACTGGCTTTGTGGATCACAAACCTGGGGAGATGCCTGGGAGGACCACCAACCGGGGAAAAAAGGACTCGAAGATCACCCAGACTCAGGACTTCCCTCAATTAGAGGAGGGCCTCAGTGCCCCTTTCAGAGCCTTGTCACAGAGGCAGCCGCACAGGGACTCTGTGTGCAATGATGGAAGAAAGAAGACAGTCAAGGACACAGCCTTGGAAGTCCCAACCAGTTTCTTGCATGGTGGGGTATTTTTTTGGTCGCAGAACAGTGCAGATGCATCCTCCCCAGGCAATAACTCGCTGGAGCACCTTCCCAGGTCCGAGAGCACCCCAATTCAGTCTTCAGCCTCTCCCGTAGTAGCATTGGCCAAAGCGCAGGGTACTATTAAAGTTCAGGGCCAGGTAGGCCCAGGAGACAGAGGGCAGGAAGAGGAGAGTCCTAACAGGTGTGTGCAGGATAGGCGGGCCTTCCAGAAGTCCAGCAAACTCCAGGTCCCGGAAGAACACCATGGCGCTAAGCCCCATGTGTGCCAGCTGTGCGGGAAGGCCTACTCTCACCGCAGCACGCTCCAGCAGCACCGGCGCCTGCACACAGGCGAGCGGCCATACCGATGCCCCTTCTGCGACAAGGCGTACACCTGGTCCTCCGATCACCGCAAGCACATCCGCACCCACACGGGCGAGAAACCCTATGGGTGCCCGGACTGCGGGAGGGCCTTCGTGCGCTCCTCCGATCTGCGCAAACACCAACGCAACATGCACAGCAACGACAAGCCCTTCCCGTGTGCCCAGTGTGGCTTGACCTTCAACAGGCCTTTGTCGCTACTGCGCCACCAGCGCACGCACCTGGGCGCCAAGCCTTTCTGCTGCTCCTCTTGTGGCCGGGAGTTCTCCGTGGCCAGCCGCATGGTGGAGCATCAGCGCGTGCACTCCGGCGAGCGGCCCTTCCCCTGCTCCACCTGCGGCAAGTGCTTCACCAAATCCTCCAACCTGCAGGAGCACCAGACGCTGCACACTGGTCAGAGGCCCTTCAAGTGCGCCGACTGCGGTGTGGCCTTCGCTCAGCCCTCGCGCCTGCTGCGCCACCAGCGTATCCACACCGGCGAGAGGCCTTTTCATTGTGCCGAATGTGGTCAGGCCTTCGCCCGCTCCTCCACCCTAAAGCGGCACCAACAAATCCACTCCGGGGACAAGGACTTCCTCTGTGCTGAGTGCAGCAGGACCTTCAGCATGGCATCCGAGTTGGCGCAGCACATCCGGCTGCACAATGCAGAGAGGCCCTACCAGTGTGAAGGCTGCGGCCAGGCCTTCACCCGCTCCAACCACCTCCAACGACACAAAGCCAAGCATGACACCTGCAAGAAGGAGCCTGTCCCTTCCTCCTCCGATGAGGGAGAGCACCATTGGCTTGCTGCTAAGAGAAACTAAGACAACCTCGACTTCACATGGCAGCATGGAACCCAGTCCGGTGTGCCCTCCCACATCCTATTCTTCCCTCAAAGCCAGCTAGGCTCTCTGGTCACTTCCCTTACTGCGTGGTTTCTGGCCATGGGGTGCTCCGTGTGCTTAATGTATTTGATGTGTTGTGAGACAAAATAATCCCAAGGATAGTGTCCAGGTGTGCAGTTTCACACCGGTCTCCCACTGCGAAGAGGCCATGAGAAATTGGAAAAGGGGAAGATAACAAAGTAGGGGCTGGCCAGTAATTCCTTAGGTCAGGGATTTCAGAGAATGAAAAGTTGGAGAATTCTGTGCTGGGCTCTGTGTAGGATCTATGGCTACCCTGATGCAAACAGTCTATTTTTTTCTTCTCAAAGCCATATCAAATATTGAGAAGACCATCTTTAGAGAGTCTTTTTAATTTTTATGTAAAGGAATCCTCAGAAATGATCCCTGTGAGGGACTCTTCCAAAGAACAAAGCCCACCTGGGGGTAACTCAAACCAAGCCAGACATCACTTGACTGCTAAAATGACTTTAACTTTGAGGGAATGTCTCCGTGGATTAGCTTTGAAGTACAGAAGGAAAGGATGAAGGTTTGAGCTGTGTTTGGGAAGCAGTGACTCCAGAAGTTCAGAATAGTTTCAGCATCCAGAAAAGAGGCCCTCACCTGAGCCTCACCTGGGTCCCACCAGTAAAGTTCACAGGGGTCTCTCTCTGCCATTGCTTTTTCCCTGCCCAGGATTTGAACTTAAGTCGCATGTGTCACTTGTAGAGAAATTCCTCTGAATAAGCCACAGTATGGTTCATTTAAATCTGCTTGGCTCATCAGCTGTGATTTGAAGGAAATGTGAGGAAGCACAAGCTGCCCAGGTGCCAACGGGCTTATTTGTGTTTGTGTCAAAGTCATTAAAATCAGCTGTGAACATCTTCATGCCTCATCATTATCCTCTAATGAACTTATTCAAAATCTGTCCTAACAGTCACTCTTCAGGGTACTGAGATAGGCACCGACTCTTGGAAAATCAGGAGTTTGTGGCTTTGGAACTTGACTGTGGGAACACCAGACCTTGAGCAGAGACCCACTTCCCCTTCTGCCTGGGAGTAGGCAGCTGTAAGACAATGTTTAGTAAAAACATGTTTACTAAAAATGATACAATAAGTTCCTGGGAAAGGCCTTCCCACGGAAACCGCCCTGACCTCGACCTTGTCCAGAGACTAACCGCACCTTCAAAAACCCACACACATCCACCTCTGGGTCAGAGCAGAACCAGCCAGGGGAGAGGAGAGAGCAGAAGCTTCTTTGGTGGGAGCTTTTCTTAGGAGGTTTTCTTGAACCTTTTTGGAGCCTGTTTAAAGTTCTCTTTATATCATTGAACGAGTCTCTGTGTTATCAATACCCGACACCCTCCGCACGTTCTCGGACACAGGCCGCGCAGCAGACGTGACAATTGGAGGTCCCACTGAGATCGTGAAAGCGAGGTAAGTGGACGGGGTTAAGAAACTATGGGGAATAGTTCCGGGAAGCTAGAATCATTGCAGTATCAACTAAAAAAGTTACTTAAAGAACATGGGACTGCAGTCAAGTCTAAAACCCTAGAAGTCTTTCTAAAATCGATCGAACGAGCCAGTCCATGGTTCATTACTGGGGGAAGCTTAAATATTCCAGATTGGGAGGAGGTTCGCCGTGATCTTCATAGACTTTTACGAAAAGAGGGATCTGAGTCCTTGCCCCCTACGACATTCTCCTTATGGAGATTAGTGAGGGGAGCACTTTTGACAGATAAGGTTCGTCACCGCCAGGTAGTTCAGGACACAAAAGAGGCTTTTTTAGAGTTACAAGAGACTGAGACTCAAGCCTCCTTGAGTTCAGGGGCAGAGAGTGATGATGAAGAGACTGTGATTGAAACTAGAGGCTCCATTGTTAGTGAGGATGAGGAGGAGTCTCTTAGTAACAACAAAAAAATGGGTAGAGATCTCCGGGCACGACCCAAAAAGAAGGACTCCGGTCAGAATCGGTTATATCCTTCTCTATCAGACCTAGAAAATGGAAGTAGCTCAGACTCAGACTCGTCACAGTCTGAAAAGGAACGGTTACTTGCTGAGATCGCGGCCCTTAAAAAAGAACTAAAAAAGATTTTAATTAAGGAAAGACAGGACAGGGAGAGAAACCCTTCCCCATACTCTGAAAAAAGGGACTCCTCCTATGAGATAACCCAGTCCTTCTCAGACCTGGAGGGAAGACCCAGGGGAGGGGTCCAATGCTGCCCGGTGGTGGCCCCAGTAATGGAAGTTCCAGATCCGAACAATTCTGGACAGGTCATTAGGCATCATAACCCTTTAAATTTTAAGGATATAAAACAACTTAAAGAGGCAACTTTAAATTATGGAGCACAGGCTCCCTTTACACTTTCCTTAATGGAATCTTTTGCGTCTCTTAATATGACACCTGGCAATTGGCAGCAGCTTTGCAGAGCAGCTCTGTCGGGGGGAGATTATTTGATTTGGAGAGGTGAGTTTCAGGAAAGATGCAGCCAGACAGCCCAAAGAAATGCACAGGCCGGACAGCCCCAGAGAAATGTGGAGATGCTTACAGGAAGTGGTCAATATGCCACCATTCAGCAACAAATGCAATATGACATCGCAGTCTATGCCCAAGTGGCAGCAGCAGCCCAAGGGGCTTGGAAAGCATTGCCTTCCAAGGAAGGAGGGGATCATCTGTCCAAAGTCCTTCAAGGACCTTCCGAACCTTTTCAAGACTTCGTAGACCGTCTCAGTCAGGTAGCAGAAAGAATATTTGGGGGCATTGGGCCTGCGATGCCAGTCATAAAGCAGATGGCATTTGAAAATGCAAATAAATATTGTAAGGAAGCCCTTCGCCCCTATCGCAATAAAAGTCTAAATGACTATATCCGGATCTGTAGGGACATTGATGGGAACTTCATCCAGGGCCAAGTGTTAGCTGCTGCTATTCGGCCCCAAGTGGGGAAAGAAAGACCTACTCTGGGAAGGAGAAAAACATGTTTTAGCTGCGGTAGGGAGGGACACTTCCGTAGAGAGTGCCCTCAAAATAGTACTACGGGTCTCAAGAGATCTGGTTTATGCCCCCGTTGTCGAAGGGGATATCATTGGGCCAATAACTGCTACTCTAAAACTGACAGGGAGGGAAATTTCCTTTCTGCTAATAATAATCAGGGAAACGGGAGGAGGGCCCCGCCCCAGGGCCCCAAAACCAATGTGTACGGGGCAATGACCCCTGCTCTGGGCAGTGGCAGGACTCATTTTCTCCCCCAGAGCAACCCCTTCATATCTCAGACCTCCTTAGAGCCACCTCGGGAGTGCAGGATTGGACCTCGCTCCCTCTGCCCGGGCAATCCTAACACCGGAAATGGGGATCCAGGCCCTCCCTACTGGGGTGCATGGGCCATTGCCCCCAGGCACGGTCGGACTACTTTGGGACGGTCCAGTACTATTCTTCGAGGCATCCAGGTACACCCCGGTGTTATAGACCAGGATAGTGAGGGGAGATTAAAATAATGACATCAGTGGGCAGTGGGGTTGTTGCCATCCCTGCAGGAGAACGGATTGCTCAGATACTCCTTCTCCCTACAGCTCCTTGTGAGGCTAGAAAAATTAAAGAGAAAAGGGGCAACCAAGGTTTTGGAAGTACCGGCCCGGCAGCATTTTGGGTAGCCACTATGGAGAACCGCCCCAGCTTACATTAAAGATAGAAGGCAAGTCCTTTAGGGGCGTCTTAGATTCTGGGGCAGATTTCTCTGTCCTCTCAGATAAATTCTGGCCCCCCACCTGGCCGAAAGAGGAAGGGACAGTGACCCTCCAGGGAATAGGACAGGCTGTGCCCCAAAAGAGCCTCAGAATCTTAAAGTGGCAAGACTCTGAAGGCCACACAGGGCTTTTCCAGCCATATGTTTTGCCTGGCCTCCCTATTAACCTCTGGGGACGGGACCTCATGCAAGAAATGGGAGTGGTCCTCACCACTCAGGCACCCAAGTCCAAAAGCAGGGGCCCCCAGATGACTCAAGGGAGGGGCTGGAGCCCGGGGAGGGAACTAGGTAAACTAGAACAGGGAGAGGTTTGCCCTGTGGCATCCCTCCCTTTGGAGACCAGGGCCCCAGGGGATAGGAAGGGTTTTGGCCATTTTTGATGAGGGTCACTGTTGTGCAGCCAGCCCCCATACCCATCACATGGCTATCAGATGATCCGGTATGGGTGGAACAGTGGCCCTTACCAGCGGAGAAACTAAGGGCGGCTCACCAGCTAGTTCAAGAACAATTGGAGGCAGGTCATTTGGTTCCTTCCACGTCCCCTTGGAATACCCCTATATTTGTAATAAAAAAAATCTTCAGGGAAATGGAGGTTACTACAAGACTTGAGGGCCGTGAATGCGACCATGCAGCCTATGGGGGCTCTGCAGCCTGGCTTGCCCGTGCCTGTGGCCATTCCTAAAGACTGGCATTTGATTGTTATTGATTTGAAGGATTGCTTCTTTTCTATTCCCTTGCATTCTCAAGATAGTCCTCGGTTTGCATTTAGCCTTCCTGCAATTAACTTTAGGGAGCCTGCCCTTCGCTTCCAATGGGTGGTGCTCCCCCAAGGGATGGCTAATAGTCCAACTATATGCCAGATTTATATAGCTGCCTGTTTAGATCCCCTCAGACGTAAGTTCCCTGATCTTTACATTATCCACTACATGGATGATATTCTTTTGGCCGCGGCCGAAGAAAGACAATGTTACATAGCCTTTGCAGAGCTACAGGAGCTTCTGGAGGCCCGAGGATTTATTTTGGCTCCTGAAAAGATCCAAAAGAGACCCCCTTATACTTATTTGGGTCATCAAATTCAACAAACTGGCCTCCGGCCACAAAGACTCCAAATCGATTGTTCAAATTTAAAAACACTTCATGATTGGCAGAGATTCTTGGGAGAGGTGCAATGGTTTCGCCCTTCTCTTTCTATTAAAACAGGGGCTCTTAAAGCGCTTTATGATATTCTTCCTGGGGACCCTGCTCCAACTTCCCCTAGACAGATTACCCCAGAGGCCAGGGAAGCCCTACAATTGTTGTTAAGAAGTATAGAGCAAGCCCACCTTCGGCGTATAGATTATGGGCAGCCCCTTGTTCTGGTTGTACTTTCATCTAGCTTTTCGCCCACTGCCGTGTTTTGGCAGACTGGTCCTATTTATTGGGTACATTTGTCAGCCTCCCCTAAGAAGGTAGCAACCCCTTACTATGATCTCATTTTACAATTGTTGTGGAAGGCACACAAGTTTAGCATTCAAACCTTTGGAAAGAGTCCTGATAAAATTATCCTTCCTTATGGTAAGGAGGATCTTCCATGATGGGTGGACCCTGTTTATTACATCTACAGGCACACAGTTTGATAACCAATATCCCAACAGCCCCTTGATGTCTTTTTTCAAACAACACCCTGTGATCTTTCCCAAGATTTTAAAGGAGAACCCTCTAGTTGGAGCTCGCCCAGTCTTTACAGACGGCTCCTCCAAGGGTTTCGAGGTGGTGGTTTCTTCTCAGGTGCAGAAGAGGGTACCCACAGGACAGATGTCAGCACAAGCCGCCAAGTTGTTTGCATGCTTGATGGCTTTCCAAATGTTTGAGGGAGAGCCCTTTAATTTATATACTGATAGTGTTTATGTTGCCAACATTGTTACACCTTTAGAAACTTCTCCATATGTTCTTCCAACCTCCCAGGTTCGTTCCTTATTAGTTCAGTTCCAACATCTTATTTGGCAGCGCATCCACCCTGCTTATGTGGGATTTATTCGTGCACATACTAACCTTCCAGGACCCCTTGCCCAGGGCAATGAAATTGCTGACTCCTTGACCCGCCCTAGGGTCTTATTTACTCAGGAGCAGCTGGCCCACCAGCTCCATGAGAGGTATCATCTAA